AGTCCGTGTCCGAACTGGAAATGGTTCGGCCCCAGACAGCCGGGGAGGAGGAACTTCAGCTCCAGCTGGCCATGGCCATGTCACGAGAGGAAGCGGAACAGGAGGAGGCCAAGCGGCGCAGTGATGATGTGCGTTTGCAACTTGCTCTTAGCCAGAGTGAGCAGGATTTCAAGTAAGTAGAGGGAGTAAAAATAAATATATCTTCTTAGGTTGCTAATCAAATCTTTATTTTATAAGGGATCCAAATGGACGACCCATTCCCGCGCCCAAAAAGGAGGAGCCCCAGAGCCATTTGCTCGATCTGCTGGACATTTCGCTTGGCGCCACAAGCATCTCGAGTCCGCCGTTGGGTGCTGCAGGCGGCGCTCCAGCGGCTGTAGTCGATCCGTGGGCCACGCCCGGTCCCCGAGCTCCCAGCCAATTGTCTGATCCCTGGTCGGGAACTTCGTCGCCGCAAGTCGATCCCTGGAATCCCTCCGCTGCCCCGCGTACAATCATGGGTGCCGGAGTGCCGATGAGTTCGGCGCCATTGGGCGGAGCAGCTGGAAACGATGCCTGGGGAGGTCGCACCCAGTCGCCATCGGTGGCCTCGGGCTCATCCAACGAGGGCTGGCTACAGACCAATGGTAATGCCAACCAGAACGGACGTGGAGCCACACCGGCTGGTCCTCCTGCTGAGGGCTGGTTGATAAAATCAACTGCTGTCGGCGCTTTGGGAGCTGCGCCCGTTAGCCATGCGGCAAATAATGGCAGCTCATCGGCGGATCCTTGGCTGGTGGAGCCAGCAGGATCAGCGGCAGGAGGAGGAGCAGCAGCTGCCGGTTTGGCGGATCCCTGGGCGGGAGGAGCAGCACCTCAGGCTGGCGCAGGTGGCCTGGATGATCCCTGGAAAGCCCTGGGAACTGGCGCCATTAAGGTAATGTCTAGATAATTTAATTTACTATTAAATTTTTAGTTGTATTTACCTAATAAATAATCTAATCGAATAAGCCTGACCTTTTGTTAGTTTTTTCTTGCTTTCCATATCTTTTATTTAAATTATTTACCAAAATGTTTTATCTAAATTACAGAAGCAATCCCCCGAGTTTGATGAGTTTGACTTAATTACTAACCGGAACAAGAGTGAGCTGAGCAATTCGAACGCCTCCAACAATAACAATGGTAAGTCTTTCATTAAACAAACATAATCGCATTCGAGCTTATCAACGAGAAACCACTTTCAGCTTCTTTGCTCGATGACATGGACCCGCTATCGGCGAACTACGGAAATGGAGCTATAAACAGCAGTGTGCATCCGTCGACGGGCGCCACGGCAAAGAAACCGCTGAAGGATGCCCACTCCTTCCTCGGCGAGAACTCCGCGCTGGTTAACCTGGACAATCTGATCAAACCGATTGCGCCACAGACGCAAACGGGCAATCAGCCGGCATACAATCCATTCAGCGATACCGTGATGCCGCCCAAGACGAATCTATTCCAGCAACAGCAGCCAGCCGTAAGTGGAGATTTGAATTGGATTTTAGAGATATAGTTTACCTAATGAATTTCTTATTATTTTCTGCAGGTGCCGTCCATCAATCAGCTGAAACAGCAAGCTCCCTTCTCAGTCAGCATGAACCAGGATCCCTGGGCACCCGTAATGGGTGGCGTTAGTGCGACTTCACAGGTGAGTTGCCAGGATTTTGAGGACTTTAAATGCGTCTGCGGTGTTAGGGAAACTCTACCAACTTGTACTTGTAACTTAATTATTTTATTGAGGTTTTGCTGTCTGATGATTTATCGATATTTCTGTTTACTTTTCGAAACTATCTTATCATTTCACGTGTGCATTTTGTTTCCTATTATTATCGTTTGTCCTTCTGTCATTTCGTATTGAGCAACTTTTGCATGTGAAACCCGATATCCTAGCCCAAACTTCCGCCTCCCGTGCGTCCCACTAGCCTCAATTTGGGCCCCTCGTCCGCGGGTGAATTTCAGCTGTTGAGTGCGTTTAGTAATCCCATCATTCCCTCCGCCAACATCCTCCAGCCACAGCTGAATTCGCAGGTCTACAGCGCAGCGTACCAAAGCAATAGCAGCACCAATATCATTGGCAACGGCGGTAACATGAATAGCAACTTGAATAGTTCCACCAGCAATAGCACCATTTACAGCAGCTATATGCGTCCGAGTCCGGGGATCGATGGCATCCGCAACATGGATATATTCACCGACCGTCCCTACTATAATAGTCCAACAGCACCGGCTGACGAAACCTATATGTACAATGGCAACAGTAATAACAATATCAACAGCAATTATGGTACTCCCAGACTTTACTCAAGCTATGCTGCCAGCTATAGCAGCGCCCTATCCGATTCGCTGGCCGAGACCCCGGGCATTAGTGTAGCGCCCATGGGCTTCGTGGCCGAGCCTGTCATGAGTTTTGGTCCCTCGTCCTCGTCGGCCAACAACTGCAAGCTGGAAGTGAGTGTGCTGCCGCTGAAGCTGTCGCTACTGCCAATTCCACTACTACTTCCTCTGCCAAAAGTTGTCGTTTATTGTTTAGCTTGCGTTTTTCTGTTTATATTGAATTTATTTGTTATTTGATTTAGTTTCCTTTTGTTTGACTTGCAAGTATGAGAATTACGAACTGCCAACTGAAGAGTGCAGCAAAGGAAATAGGTTTAAAATAACTATTTAAATTACATTTCCTTTGCTGCTCGTCTGAAAACAAGTACGCATCTTAACCCTAAACAGCTCTGCTAAAACCCAGTTGATCCATAATATTTTCTAATTGTAGCCATCAATGGAGGCTTGGACGCTTAAATAAAACACATACAATATGCAATAAATGCAAATGGGTAAAATGTTTTTCGAATGTGCATGCTCCGCTATCTAACTCGTAGACCTCCCCTCCTAACAAACTAAGAACATTTAACCTTAAAACTAACCCCAGTAGTTGGCTAAAATAGCTCTAAGCTCTGCATGTAGTGCGCTTATTTATAGCAAATTAGATTTACCCGCACCCCAGTATCGAACACTAACTAATCCGAACTCGATTTTTGCAGCAAAACAACAACATGCCGTGGATCAAACCGGAAGCAGCAACAAATCCGTTTTTGTCGTAAACTGGAGCCGATCAATCAACAGCAATGTAAGCAGGAGCAGCAATGGGATCATCAACTAAGGGAACGTCATCTAATCAAGGCCTGGCTGGTGTATATGGAGCTGTCCAATAGCATTAGCAACAATAGCAGCAGAAGCAACCAATTTTAGCTCTACATAACTGCAGAGAGAGAAATATGAATTAATTAATAAATTATGTGTAAGGAAGTATTATTAAACTGTAAAATATGTGATGTACGTGAGAGAGATAGCCAAGATCCAGCGATAGAAAGTGAGGAGCAGTAGAAACAGCAACGACACCCAGCCAAGATGAGTAGAGAAATCAGCCAGTTTTCGCGCAGGAAGCTTACATTCAATCAGAACTTGAGTCTAACACAATTGCAATAACTAAACCTGTAAACCAGCCCCTAAGATAGCATAAGGCATCCCCAACGCCACTCAACTGACTATGAAATTATTCTCCCTACCATTCACACACGAAATTTTAAGTTTTTAAAGCTAATGGGTATACTGTGCCCCTTTAAGTTGAGTGGTTGTCTGGGATACCAACTGTCAATCTTCAAGTACTTCCTTAGTTGATCATTTACTACTGTTAATTAAGTTGTATCCTTGTTGAGGCAAAAACCAAGAACGAAAGCGGTTATTGGAAATCCGATCGAGTCCAAACGAGAGATGCGAAAATGAAAACTAAAATTGTTATATAGCTTTAAAGATTGCATCCGAAAAGAAAACATGTTAAAAACAATGGTAAACAAATTATGTGTGCTTGTAATTGTAAATTTTTTACGTTCTTATTTTGTGAAATTTATTGTGCGCGCATGTTGCAGAAACCAAATACAATTATTAATGGCTTTTGGCTATCGATTTTTAAACACATTTTTACGATTTTTTCGAGTTGACAGTTGATTTGTTTGTGCATTCGCTTTTGGTCCACCTTCAAGACACCAATGCATACACGATTTAAAATTTACAAGAACCTTAAAAAAAAACACATATACAAAGAACAAGATAACAAGAGCAAAAGGAAAAAACAAAAATGATGGTATACATTTAGGCTAGAATACGTAACGAATTGTATAAGCGTAACTTAATGATAACAAAATATACATATACATAAAAGAGAAGCCGATTCGGTGTGAATTTATGCTTAAGAGATTTACATGCCTAACTAGCAAGCGTATACACCCCACACAGCTGATACCCTTTTATATATATAAACACAGCCCCAAAAACACATACACTTGCGAAAATGCAAATTTTAAGCATATTTTCATATTATTAAAATTTTATTTTAACTAAAAAAAGCGAAGAAAATCCATGTAAAAGTCAGACCACTTTTGATGCTCCCATTGCACAACTAAGCGGGTGGCGACTGAGTGTGCCAATGCCCAGGGGCCTCCACTTGACAGCCAGCGCCAGCATTCAACACTTTGTTGGGGCATCACACTCATGTCGGATACATCGGGCAGAGGCAATCCCAATCCGAATCCCCGATCCCGATCCCAGCAGCAACGGCAGCACGATTATGTTAATTTCGGGGGCCGCCAGAGTGCAGCATTAACGGAGCACGCCCACCGCATATGGCAGTGATATTTTGGCCAGCTGGGATTGGGATGTGGATGTGGATGCGGATTCGGGATGGGGCTGGATATGGATATGGATTGCTGGATGTGGCTGTTGCGCAAGTGGCCAGCTAGCTGGCAGGCTGGTTTCGGTTTTGATATTTGACATGCGCCAGGGGCCATCAGGAAACTTCGTTTAAATGAAATCAAAATGCACAAATACATAATTTACACAAATTTGCCGTCGACCGGCGGTACGAGTTTATCGCCTTGGTTGGGCACGAAGAAAGAGCGGCTCCTCAGATGGGAAATCGCTGGCGAATTGTATAATGCAACGAGTATTCCAGGAGCGATGAGCAACCAGCAGATGCAGGAAGAACTGATTTAAAAAGTGGCACAATATAGTATTCATAAAACGGAAAATCTTGCATAATACAAATCTCTTTTATTGTTCAATTATTACATTTCACTTCATGTTAATAATACGATTATTTTTGCTATCATTTTCCAGGACATTGAAGATCCAGGTAACATAGTTGGCCAATCTGGTGTAGACTCCTGGAAAACGAGGATCAGCACAGCCACGGGCAAAGGATACGATGCCATAGCTACTGCCACGATGAACCAGCGGAGCTCCTGAATCTCCGTAGCAGTGATCCCGTCCAGCATCCGCCGCACACACCATGTCATCCGTAATGGGTCGATCCAATTGCGAATAAAGTCGTTGACAACGTCTCTGATCTATAACCTTCACCAGAGTGCCACGTAGCTTGGGTTCCGAGTCACTGTCATCGGCATCTGGATTACCCCAGCCGGCCACAAACAGAGTTTGGGGAAGGATATTAAGTCCTGGTAGCGGCAGCTTTACCAGCTGAACACTTCCTCCAAGAGTGAAGGGTTTACCAATCTTCAACAAAGCGATATCGTTCTCCAGAGTCTGCAGCTTGAAATCTGGATGAAGGACAATCCTCAGCACCTCCCTTTTCTGACCACCCTCATCAGCAAATGCGGATCCTGCGCGAACGGAGTATCTATCTGGATAGTTAACACAATGGCCTGCTGTGACCAACCACTGGGAAGTAATCAACGCCGAGCTGCAACTGTAGTTCCCATGCACACTAATAGAAGCCAACCAGGGTGACATATGAATGGGCAGCTCCACGCCACCTACGATTCGTTCCTGTGACGATTTAGCCCAGGTTTTATGGCCACAAATGAGCAATAAAACCAACGCCGAAAGTTTCATCATCCGTACAAAAACAAATCGACCGTAAAGATCAAATATTGGTCGATAACTGAAAGTCGAGTTCTTGACCTTTTGGCGCGACCTCCGGTTTAGCAAAGAGTTTAGAATCAAGAATGCTAATGACCTCCAGTTTTGGCATGCGACCTACTGAATATTGATTGGCCTATAATTAATACTCTTCTCTTGGAGGTTTGACTACAAAATGGATTGTCATTCGGTTTTCCTCAAATCGTTTCATAACAAAACTCTTTTGCATATTACGTATACGTTCTAAACATTTTTGCTAATTTATTCATTCGTAAAATTCAGAATTTATTATAAAAGAAGATTTGCAAATTGATGATTATGACAATAAATAGAAATTCTATCTAAAATTTAAATCAAAAAGCCGGTTCGCGAAAGGAAATTCTAAGTTTATTTCTAGTATCTTGATAAAAATAGATTTTTTTGCATATTTCATTAACTAATTATTGCGCGCGACCATCTTTATCCAGTTAACGTATTGCAAGATATTGCAATAGACTCCAGGATAATTTTCGTTGGCACAACCGACTCCAAACGACGTGATACCATAAAGAACGCCACTGTTGACCAGCGGACCCCCAGAATCTCCCGAGCAAGTGTCTCGGTTCTTTCGCTTGGCACAGATCATTTGCTTGTAGATCTTGATCCCTGCTTTCCTGTAGTCCTTTTGGCATTTACCACGTTTCACTTTGCAGACTACTACGCCCCGCAGATATCGCTGGGCATTCTGGGCATTCGCTGAGGTCAGACCCCATCCGCTGGCCAGATAGCACTTGGGCAATCGCTTGGTTTTCGTCGACGGAAGCTTGGCTTTCTGGCAACACTTGTTGAACTTCAGTGGACTCTTCAGCTTCATCATGCACAGGTCGTTCTTCATGGTGTACTCGCTGTAGCGCGGATGGCACACAATTTTCTGGACGTGACGCAGTTGACCACCTCTTCTCTGCTGTGTGGATCCCGCTCGAACCGTATAGCTTCCAGGATTACCAATTTTACAATGCTGGGCAGTGAGAATCCAGCGGTTGGATAGTATAACGCAGCCACAAATGAAATAATTATTATAATGCAGGGAACACTGATACGGTGCTCGGCTGCACTTGATCTTCTTGCCATTCACAATCCTAGTTGGCAGGTAATCCTGTGCCTCCAAGGCATTTATCGCAGGGTTACTGGATATATTGGCTGGCAAAAAGTTCTGATGCTTTTGTCTTGGCCCTTGATAAAGCAGGTAGTGGGTGCCATTATCTATGTAGTAACCGCTCCAGGCAGGACTTTGCAATTGTCCTTCTGCCGCCAGGATACACAAATAAAAAACTATCCCTATTCTTGTTAAACTACCAATCTTTGCAAAATCCATTTTTATAACCGTTCTGGGCCACGATCGCCTCTCGACTGAAACATCTTAGAACAATAGCTCACCTTTCGACCTCTTGCTTCCCGGTTTCATAATCTGTTTGTATTCCACTGTGTTTGGCCATTTATCTTTGGCCGCGTTGAAGTAGGCCAAGTTAATTAGCTGGACTAAGAAAAAAAACTGCCCGCAGCGCCTCGCAGATTTGACATGCTGTCAAATGGTTGGCATAAGCCACACTCTCAAACTCTAAAGATTCCTAAATCCCAGCCTAATCTTAGATCAAACACTTAAATATAATTAATTGCTTTATAATATGGCGAACTTTGCTGACCAAAATTATAAAGCTAAAAATTATTTAAGGTGTTAGGTAATTTATTATATTACATTACCAAAAAATAAATTCCGTTTTTAATTCGTTCCTTAAATTGATATATTAATTATTTGCTATGACATGTTTGATCCAATAAATGTATTTTTTCACGCTGCAATAGACACCAGGATAATCGCTGGCGCAGCCAATGCCCCAGGAAACGATTCCGTAGAGGATTCCGTGCCTGGTCAGCGGACCGCCAGAATCGCCGGAGCAGCTGTCCTTTTTCTTTCTACTGGCGCAGATCATGTCCTTGTAGACTTTGATCCCGGTACCCTTGTACTTCTTCTGGCACGTGGTCCTATTCACGAAGTCGAGCTCCACGCGGCGCAGATAACGCTGGGCATTCTGGGCGTTAACCGACGTAATGCCCCAACCACTGCACCAAAATTTTCTGGGAAATCTTTTAGTTTTAGGAGAGGGCAATTTGACTGGCTGGCAACATTTGTTGTAGAAGATCGGTGACTTGAGCTTCATCATGGCCAGATCGTGTCTCATGGTGTTTTCATCATATGCCGCCAAGGCCCGGATCTTGCTCACATGTCGCAGTTGGCCATAACGCCTCTGTTCATCGGTTCCCACTCGCACCGTGTACTTCTCGGCTGGTCCAAAGTAGCAGTGATGGGCAGTCATGACCCAAACTCGGTTGATAATTACACAGCCGCAAACAAAGTAGTCGTCGTAGTGCAGAGATCCCTGGAAGGGGGCTTCCTCGCACGGGATCCTTTGGCCATTGACGATTCTAGTATTGAAATTCTCTTTTGCTTCCAGGGCGTTTATAAAGGGATTTGAGGAAATATTTCCAAAATTGGGCCGTACATCCTTTCGTTTTTCGTACAACAGGTAGTGGGTTCCATTGTCCTTGTAATATCCGGACCACGCCGGATCCTTTTTGCGTCCTTCAATCCCCACTACAAGTAGTAGCAGCGCAGCACATATGGTAAGTTCTAAAAACCGCTGACCCATTACCGCTCAAGACCACGATCGCGAATTGACTAAACGATTTCAGCATTATCGACCCACCTTTCGACCTCTTGCAAAATGATTCGGGCCTTTTTAATGGGCTTCACGAGCTAACTAAAACCAGTCTATGACTTTGCCATTTCTTTTTATTGGGTCAGTTTAGAATTTGCAATTTTTAACCCCTTACAATCGGATTCCGACTTTTTGCATAGAATTTTCTAGATGAAGTCATCGTTATTTATAAAATAAAATATTTCAGGTTTATGTGGAGTTCTGTTATCAATAAAAGAAAAGCTTTAATATTTGAATGCAAATTAAATTGATTTACCTTTTTTAAAAAATCAATCAATTATCTTAAAAATAAATGGGTTAATTTTGAGAACTTTTGTTCTGCTTTTGGCCGTGTCAAAAAAGCGATTTGTCACGAAAGTAAAATGAAGCGGGTCTTGACTTTATCGCTGGCATAAGTTTTGCATAAATTTCGCCATAATTTAGCCGGTGCTTTGTCGTAGTTTATTGCCGCTAGTGGCAATGGCTTATTACCCCTTTTCACTCCTGCTTTTTTTTGCGGCAGGTTTCGGCTGCCCATTTTTGGTAGGGCGCCGCTTCCGCATGGCTCTCGAGCTGTAGACTCAGGCGGAGACAAAACAATAAAACTATTAATTTAATGTAAATTTTGCGCAGCTTAATTATGTGCGAAATCACAGGGGACACAATGGTGGATGTGGACACGGCCGGGCAGGAATAATTAGGCAGGCGCACTCGCACAAAAGTGAAAGGAGCACTTGGACTTGGGACCAGGTCCCCAGTTCCCCAGGTCCAGGTTTAGGCCATAATGGTGCCGCCGATAATTATGTAAGCAGGCAGCAGAAATTCATTAGCTCGGCGCCTATGCAAATTTCTTTTTACCCCGCTCCTTAAATTGCATTTACGCGGGAGCTGCCAACTGCCAGATAGCCGATAACGGTGGCATTTCACTCGTTTCTGGCCGAGATTACTCGCTTATCGCCGAATGGAATGCCAATTTCTGTGCAGCGAAAGGGAGGGAGGAGATGGAGGAGTGAGCCAGCCAGTTTCGTGTGGCGAAAAGCGTGAAGAATCGCAATTTGTATGGTTTAATTAAAAAATCTGTCAAATGCCAGTTTGTGGGCTCATTAATGTGTTCCTGAGGCAGGCCCCAAACAGCGAAATCATGCTTGACATAGCATGAACCCGGGCTCCAATAGACCATGCCGTTCCACATCGCGATATTATGCTCGATATGTGCGGCTCACGTTGATGTCTACAGGCAGATGGGGGAACTGCTGACTGCTGCCTGCACCTTTGACAAAACGCCAAACAAAAGACTGAGGCAACGAACCTGGTTATTACGAGCCTGTCGCGGCGGCTCTTGCATAATAGGAACGTTGGGCCAAATTGATTTTTAATTATGGCTTGCCAAGAAATATGTTGAAATACCAAATGACGGGACGACTGTTCTGGGAACGTTGCTTCTTTTAAAGGCGGAACTTAACAAGTTTGAGGTCTAATGAAGTTTTGATTATTTTAGAATTTATATTTAAAATCTATAGCGGTTTTAAAGAATGATAGGATAGAATTTGTGAGTTTTTTCATATTATGAAGTTAAATTGATGAAGCTACAGAAATAGACTTTAAATTCAAAATAAGAGAAATAAAGATCTCTCGTTATGATCGCCTGGATTACCCGCAATTCGGTGGCAGCAATTAAGCCATTACAGTAGTGGCCTCTGCAGCAACTTTCATTTTCTGGCATAATTGAAACATAATTTTTGTAGTGTAAAATCGCACCGGCCGGCACTCGAACACGCCAAGTGAATTTCACCCATTTCGCACGTTTCATGTCGAATCGAGCCCGAGCCGTTAGTTAATCATTTGATGGCATTGCGCAGCCTTTTTGTCAAGTCAGCACGCGAGACGCACCCGACCAGTCGCCAGATATCGGCAATTATCACCGGAGCCATCAGCTGCCGATAGCGATAGCGAGTTCGGAGTACTCGGAGTGCTCCCCACTACCCACTCCAAAGATCCAGACTCCACTCCATTCGGATCTGGCCAGGCGCACCCAATATACCACCTCCTGCGACCCTGCTTTCCAGTCCTGTCCGCCCGGGATCCGCCCATCACTTGGAAGAATTGTGACATTTAGACACAACAAATCATAGCAGGCAGCATCATTAGATTGCACAGAAAAAAAATGTTTTTTTAATGAAATAAGTGAGACATGAGATGGTTTTACTTTGGGATACTTGTTAAAAATCATTTCTGAAATAATGAAATTAAATGAAATGTTATAAAAATGCATAATAATGTTAAAACTAAATAGAATGATAAATATTTCGCAGTTAGCTTTTCCTAGAAATATTATATGATTATTTTGTAAATGATATATCATTTAATTTTATAAGGTACCTATCATTCGTTTCAATGGTATATTGTATCATTTATGCCTTATGTGTTACGTTAGTCGTGGAATAAAAAGGAGCCCTAAACTAAATTAGGCTTAGGAATCCTAATTTAGGATTGATCTATATATTTTTTTTTTCGGTGTTCCTCTGGCTGCCTAGTTTTGTATGTCAATGGGTGTATAGAAATCGAAAGTTTCACACTTGTCAATTAAGTGTACCGAGTGGTGGCTCTTGTTGTTGCCGTCTCCACACTTCATCATGCGAGTCGGGCGGCATTGCCGGAGCTGGAGCTCCGTGGAGCTGCAGTTGAAAAGCGGCTGTCAATGAAAATGAAATTTTATTGAGATTTTTCCGACCCCCCCCGAGATTAATTAGAAAAGTGCCTGCATTTGTATCGCGGGCCGTGTGTGTTTGGGTAGCTTAATTGCTTTGACGTCTCGTGCGTGTGTGTGGTTATATAAGTCGTAAAATACTTAAGCCATAATAATCTCCAATTGGAAACGACTATCACTTTTACTATCGACTGCCCCGACTCATAAAGCTAACAAGCGAAAACCGCTGACTCTTCTAAGCGATTCTGGTGTGGGGGCAGTGAAAGTAAACGCTCCACGGGAGCGGGTGACAATGTTGCAACTTGCGGCTTATGCAATCAATCTCATCCGTCAGCGGCAACCGATCGATCTGCTCCCGCTGCTCATTAAACGCACATAATTGTTATATCGATGAACGGGCACCTACTCGCGACCGGTTGCATTCAATGGCCAAATTTGGTTAAATAATGCACGGACCACTACTGGCCACTTTTACCTGGCCGAAAAAAGAGCGAAACGAAAGCGAAAGTTCTTTTGTCTTGTGGTTACCTAAAAATAAAAAGCACAGAGGAAAAAAGTGCAGCTTCGCTTCGATTCTTATCGCCCCGCTTTTTACGCTGCACTCCGCTGCCAGATCGGCAGATTTATGCACTTTTCATTTCACTTACCGGCCAACAAGCTCCACTACATGAAACGATGCCGAGTAGCAGGAGCAACCGGCAACTTTCTTCGGCACTCCATCGAAATTATTATGCGGATATGGGGGCGCCAACATTGGGACGCAGGGACACCCGATTCATCCTCATCCACTGCCGATTCTTTAAATTGCCACTTGCACTTGACCGAGCACATGCCACCGGGGCAGGCGGAATTGGGAGGAAAAAGGTGCAGGAAGACCACATATAAATAAGGATGCACAGTGGTTAACTTGGATTATGAAATTTTCTTAGTTGTGATATTTAGAACATATCATATGGCTTGGGAAGTGCCTTGCCTGTTAAACAGAAGGACAAATGGAAGAAAACTTTGCGCTAAAGTACAATAAATATAAATAAATTATTAAAAATAAATATAATATTTCTACAATATATAAACATAATAAAATCAACAAAATATGCTATTATGTGTTCTTAAGACGAATTCTTTTTAAAATAATCGCAGATCAAAGGATTTTAGAAACCCTGAAGAATGACAGAAAAATAAATATAATACCTTGTTCAGTGGGTTCCATTAATGGCGACCACTGTGCCTTTGCTGGGCCACCCAGAATGTGCGACAAACTGGGCCCCAATTAAGTTTGCAGCGTTTTAATCGAGTCGATGCGTTTTCGGGCATTAAGTTTTGAGTTTTTCAGTTCACAGGTTGGGTTAATTTGTGAAAGTTTTGTGTAAACAAAGACCCAAAGCGCCTCGAGGGTCTCCAACTGCAGTTGGTCAGTCTCCAGTCCGCAGTCCACAGTCCTCAGTGCGGCCATAAATTCAATCAGGCGTGGCCAGTGGAAGATCGAGATCGGGAAAGAGGTGTACGAGCGATGGGCAGACGATGTCAATATATTTCTTTCCCCCGGTCTCGGTTGACATTGGCTTAAAATATTTGGAGTAAAACTGATTTAATTGACGTTGACGTTGCGTAATCTGCAGGCATTGGCCGTGGCCCTGCCAATTGGCCGCATCCTGTCATTCCGGGGCGATAACAGCGGCAATCAACTGGACAATAATGTGGCATAATTGGCCAGCCCAGGTCGGATTTAAGCTGGGCCCGAAAACTGGGCTCAAACTGGGCTTTAACTGGGTTCGAACTGGGTTAGTGGCGCCAACAGCCGGCGCCAAATCGAAAACTCGAAGCGGGACCCGGGCAAAAACCAAAACAAAGCACGGCCCATGGAAAAAGTGCAGAAAACGAAGCCAGATCGACCGACCAGTTCGTGTCATGTGATTTTTATCGTTAATAGGAAACAACTGCAGCAGCGGCAGCAGCAGCAGCCAAATCCAAATCCAAAGAGACAAGTACAAAGCCAAAGCGCCGCCGATTGTTGCTGTTTCGCTAGTTTATATCGAACAAATGTTGCATTGACATGAAAAGGGTTTTTATTCAATTGCTGGCAACATGCTACGCCGCGAATAAAAAATAAAGTACAAATAAAAATGTAGGCGCCTGTGAGTCAGTCTGCACAGAAAACAGAAGATTTATATCTTAATATTGGCAGATTCCAACTAACTATCCAACTTAGTTTATAATAATAAATAAATACTATTTACCCTTCCTT